CAACTTTCGGAAGCTCATGTTGGCGGAACGACAGCGGCACAAAACACAAGCGAAAAGGCTGGCCGAGGCCTGTCGAGACGCATGGCTACGCCGGCAACCCAAATCCGCAGAAGTGCTCGAGGCCGAGGCGAGAGACTATTGGATCACGCGGTACCGTATCGTGGCCAAGGTCATGCACGGGACGTGGGAGAACGTGCGAGCTGAGATCAACAGGAGGAGGCTGCAAGAATGGGAGGTGGAAGAGCAGCGGCGTGTCAAGGCTGCTCTGAACGAGGCAGTCAACCTGTCCGAGCAGAAGCTACAGGCCCAGCGCGGCCAGATCGGTAGCGACGAGGACGAAGACGAGGAAGACGACGAGGACATCGACGAGGAGGACTCGGAGGACGACTTGGCTGCTACTGACGACGAAAACGCCCTGGGACATGACGACGCATCGTCGATGGATGCCGACGACGACGACTCTGGCGACGATGACGTCATGTCTTCATCTGACGAAGACGATGAGCCGGCGAACGACTCTCTGGTGGATGCTGCAGACGAGACCCTCACGCAAGATCAACTACGGGCGAAGTACTCGAATATTCCCGACCTGGTCAAAGAAGACGAAGAAAAAACAACCAATGGGATAAGGACAAGCCCCGGCGCGACCGCAGGTGGAGATGAAGGGAGTGACTCGACTGATGAATCAATCGACATGGACGATGACATGGGTTCTAGTGATGAAGGCAGCGACGAGGATGATGACGATGACATGGAGACTGGGTCGGGTTCTGAAGGGGAGTCCGATGAAGGGGAGCCTGCGAACCTTCTAGGGCTCTTTTTCGACAAGAAAGAGCTGCAACAGATGCAAGAAACCCCGAAAGATGAGACGGAAGATCGATCAGAGCCGCCATCTGAGCAGGCTGAGAAGAAGAAAGCGCTCCAAACACCATCCAAGGCGCGGGACCTGCCACTGCCTGCATGGGACTCTGGGAAGAAGCATGATGTTTCATTGGCCTTGCACGACGACATGGAAGACGAGGATGACGATGAACCTGAGCTGGTCACAATCCCACCGTCAGACCCAGTCACAGGCGACGATACTCCTGATGTGGGCGATGGCGAGCGACCAACTACGAACGGCCATGTTGAGACTGGCGTAGTCGACGAGCCTGTGACCAACGGCATTGCACACAGTCTCGAGGCTACAACGGATACGACAGTCGCTACATCCCAAGATGTTGACATGACCGATGCCCCGGTGCCTCTGGAATCTCTCCCAGAATTTGCCGTCACATCTCCGCAGTCTACACCAGTTAAACCTACAAGTTCTGGTGCAGATACGATGATGGCGCCGCCAGAGGTCGGAAAGCCCACTTCGTCACCCACACCCGACTCGAAGCCATCAGACGCCGACTCGACAGCACTCATCCCGGCACCCAAGGACGACACGAGTAGGTCTGTGTCACCCAGTCCAGCATCGGCTGCAAAGACCGAAGTCCCCTTCCTGCTTCGCGGCACTCTTCGAGAGTACCAACATTTTGGCTTGGACTGGTTGGCAGGCCTTTATGCCAACAACACCAATGGTATCCTCGCTGACGAGATGGGCCTGGGCAAGACGATCCAGACAATCGCGCTGCTGGCCCATCTTGCGTGTCATCATGAAGTGTGGGGCCCTCACTTAGTTGTGGTACCGACGAGCGTAATGCTCAATTGGGAGATGGAGTTCAAGAAGTTTTTACCTGGCTTCAAGATCCTGTCCTACTATGGAACACAGGAGGAGCGGAAGCGGAAGCGCCACGGATGGAACAACGACGATGTGTGGAACGTCTGCGTCACTTCTTACCAGCTCGTCCTTCAAGATCAGCAGGTCTTCAAGCGCCGAAAGTGGCACTACCTCATCCTTGACGAGGCGCACAACATCAAGAACTTCAAATCCCAGCGATGGCAGACACTGCTTGGCTTCAACACGCGGGCTCGACTGCTGCTCACAGCACGCCGTTGCAGAACAACCTGACCGAGTTGTGGTCGCTGCTCTCTCCTCATGCCGTCGGAGAACGGCGTTGGTGGTTTTGCCGATTTGCAGGAGTTCCATGATTGGTTCCATAAGCCAGAGTCTCAGATCCTCGAGAGCGGCCGCGTTTACCATGGACGAAGAAGCGCGGGCGATCATTTCCAAGTTGCACAAGGTTCTGAGACCGTACCTGCTTCGGCGACTCAAGGCCGATGTTGAGAAGCAGATGCCCGCCAAGTACGAACATGTCGAATTCTGCCGCTTGTCAAAGCGGCAGAGGGAACTCTATGACGGCTTCTTGGCTCGGGCTGATACCCGTGACACCCTGGCATCTGGCAACTACATGTCCATCATTAATTGTCTCATGCAGTTGCGGAAAGTGTGCAATCATCCTGATCTTTTCGTCGATCGGCCCATCATGACCTCCTTCCGAATGCAAAAGAGCGTTGCTGCCGACTACAACGACACGAACGAGTTTCTACGGCGGACAATCCTGGCGCAAGATGCCATGAAGCTCGTCAGTCTCGGCGTGGTCAATCTGATCCCCACGCAACATGAAGGGCTTTCCAGCACCGATGCAGAGCGCATCTCTCAGTTGAGCTTGCATCGAGTACTGCTGGACCTCCGAGAAGCCCAAAATGCGCGTGCGCACATGGCTCGCACCAACCTCGATCCTTCAACCGCTGAGTCGAATCTGGTCTATCTTGAAAGCCTCGGTAGATGGCGACGTTTCGAAGAGCTGCAACATTGCGTGTACCTCAATGCCCTCCGTGGACAACGCCGTCCGATTTATGGCAAGCGATTAGTCCAGTTCCTGACCTTGGACCTGCAGCAGCGGCCTCGTAAGCCCCGGCCCAGGGTTGCGAAGAACATCCTCAACTGGTTTGCTGAGGACTCAGGATTCCTGCGCGCGACAATCCACAGCATGGACGACAGGGCAGCGTCCATGGAAACGATAATCCAAAAGTTTGCGTGCGTGACGCCATCGGTCATCACGCGAGACATGACTGAAATCGTCCTCGGCAAGCGAGCCATCGATGCGTTCACTGAGGCCGACCTCAGTCTCTCCGCACCAGTGCGCTGGGCGCCGTTCATGCAGAAGCAGGCGCCGCACGACCCGTGGCACGAGGCTAGGATGCGGTTGAGTATTCAGTTCCCCGACAAACGTCTCCTTCAGTACGATTGTGGCAAACTTCAGGCACTCGACAAGCTGCTTCGCAAGCTTCAGGCTGGCGGCCATCGTGCGTTGATCTTCACGCAGATGACCAAGGTTCTCAACATTCTTGAGCAGTTCCTCAACATCCACGGCCACAAGTACCTGCGACTCGATGGTGCGACCAAGGTCGAGCAGCGACAGATCCTCACGGACAGGTTCAACAACGATCCGCGCATCCTCTGTTTCATCCTCTCCACCCGGTCAGGTGGCCTGGGCATCAACCTGACCGGCGCCGACACGGTCATTTTCTATGACCAAGACTGGAACCCCGCCATGGACAAGCAGTGTCAGGACAGATGTCATCGTATAGGCCAAACACGTGACGTGCACATTTACCGGCTCGTCAGTGAGCACACGATCGAAGCCAACATTCTACGCAAGGCGTCGCAGAAGCAAATGCTCGACGACGTTGTCATCCAGGAGGGCGAATTCACGACAGACTACTTCCGCGAGAAGATGACAGTGCGCGACGCCGTCGGCGAGGACGCCGAGCTTGTCAACGACGGCAACGCCGCCGCCAACGCGGCCATGGACCGTCTCCTCGGCGGCGGCGCCAACGGCAGCGAGTCGCGCAACGTCGGCGAGTGCTCGAGCTTGCCGAAATACAAGGAGGACGTCGACGCTGCCAAGGGCAGCTGAGAAGGAGATTCAGGCCGACGACGCCCACTTCCTGGAGAGGTCAATAGGCGTCAATTCTGGCGCTGCAGCTCGGGGGCAGAGTACGCCCCGCTACGACCCTTCCTGCGTAGGATGTCGGCGCAGTGTGCTGTGTCCTCTGTCTTGTGAGGGTTCTTCTACAAGAGGGGGAAGGAGAGCATGAGGGAGAAGCAG